AGCCACAGGGCGGAAGGCCTGCAGGCACTTAATGGGGCCGCGGGGCACCTGCCCCAGGCTGGCTGGGAGGAGGGCCTGCCAAAAACCTGTTACCTCCCTGGAGTGCCACCCGGGGCTGGAGGACAGCGTCCCAGCCCGTGGTCCCTGGGACTGTGCGGGGCCTGTGGCCTCGGCTCCACCCTCTCCCACTCCAGGGAGCAGGCTGGGGAGAAGTGGCAGCACGACAGAGCTGGGCCCGAGCCCTGGGGCGAGCCTCTGGGAAGGAAGATGACGTCAGGCAAACGCGAGTCCAAGGTCAGCCTTTACCGACCAGACGCCGAGTGGGCCCCGCGCTCCGGCCGAGGCACGGACAGGCAGAGGATGGCGTTCGCCAGGGGCCTGATGGCTTCCCCATCGCGAGGCCTGGGTCCCCCTCCTGGGCCCCCCCTTTTCAAGCCTCTGTTCCCAGGTCCTCCAGGCCCCCGCGCCCCCTTCTGAGCAGGAAGGAAGCAGGAGAGGCCAAGGCTTTCTCTGTGGGAGCCTCCATGTAGCAGAGCGTCTACGGCAGGTGCACAGGAGGGCGCCCCGGAGGGGGCTGGAGCCGAAGGCCGTGCGGGAGGGGCCCCAGTTTCCCGGGGGGAGGGGCCCCTGGATGCGGGAAGGCTGCTGGGTGCCTGGCTGGTGAGCAGGTAGGAGGCCAGAGTGGGCTCGCCTGCTGCAGGGACCAGAGGGCAGGGGCGAGTGGAGCGCTTTGTAGCTAACGGTCAGAGCTTTCAGCCTTATCTCAGGAGCATTTAGGAGCCATAACGAGCTCTCGAGGAGGGGGTTTATTCAATGACAAATGGAAACCCTGTGTCCGCGTAACCGAGACCTCACCTGTGCTCACACCACCGGCTGCCCCCCTCGGGGTGAAACCCCCCGCGGTGGAGGTGGGCGTGCAGGCCCGGCCCCGCCCTTGGTGGCCACCCTCGCCTGTGCTTCTCAAAGCGGGTTCCTGGGAACCCTGCCCCCCCCCCCCAGGGGAGGGGTGACGGCCATAGCTGAGGCGGGCAGGTGCCCCCCCAAAGGGCCGCGCTCAGCACTTTGCACCTCGGAGCTCACTGCGTCCTCAGGGCAGCCCCGCCGGGGGCGCCGCCCTCACCATCCCGTTCGGAGACGGGGACGTGGTGGCCGGTTTGGCCTCGGAAGGGGCCCCTCCCCTGTCCTCTGACGGTCGCGTCCCGTCTGCTGGACAGAGGCACGGCCTCAGAGCCCGCCTCCTCGGAGCCTGTGGTCGCTGTGCTTGGCCCGCTGGTCCTGTTCAGGGCGGGAGGCCCGGGGCGGTCCCAGGGACAGAGGCAGCCGCTGGCCGCCCGTCCCCCAGCTCCTGACTCTGTTTCCCGTGACCCCTTTGCCTTGTGGCTCGGGCCCGGAGACACGGGTCGCGGGGGCTCTCCGCAGCCACCCCGAGCTAAAGCAGCAGGTGTAGCTCTCAGCGCCGGGCCAGACGGACCCGGGAGGTCAGCCTGCCCAGCGCCTTGAACACGGTGACGTATGGAGACTGCGTAGTTAAAGCGATGTCACAGGGACCGCCAGTAAGCGCCACAGGTGACAGCGGCTCTGACTGACACCTGCCCGCCTCAGCTATGGCCGTCACCCCTCCCCTGGGGGTGGGGGCCAGGGTTCCCAGGAACCCGCTTTGAGAAGCACAGGCGAGGGTGGCCACCAAGGGCGGGGCCGGGCCCGCACGCCCACCTCCACCCATGTCGGTGGGGACAGGATGATCGCCCTTCCTGTCACATACGGAACGGCAGACCTCCTCCCCGGGGAAGGAGCTCACGTTACCAAGTCACTCGATCCCTCCCGGCTTCTGCGACGCCCAGGGGCTGGTCAGGGTGAAACCCAATCGCCCGGGTGGCGGGCCTGTGCCCTAGATGGCCATGCTGCCCGGCCAGGCGGCCCCTCCGCGGAGCCACAGCACATGCAGCCGGACCCCGAGGCCCAGCCAGCATCCCGGGAGGCGCAACAGGACAGGACCCTGATGGCACAGGGAAGGCTGGGCGTGGGGGCGGGGCTTCCCCAGGGGAGGCGCCAGGC